TAAAAGCAGTAGACCCAGGCCTCAGGGTCAGCATGCTCCACTCTGTCACAGATAAAAGCCACTCACTGTCTATTAATACACCCAGAATAGCAGACCACCACCCCCATTTTACCATGCTCTGTTTGACCTCTAAGGCGCTCATTTGTTTCATTTTTAATGCAAATCATAAAGTAGGATTTTGATTTACAAACACATAGCTTTTATAAAAATATACCTGATTGTCAGAGTTGGTGAAGGTGCATGCTGACACATAGTTAGTGTGCATAGCGACTGCCTTCTTCTTAGCAGACAGGTTCTCGTTCTTATCCATAGACAAAGGGTACACCGAACACTTATTATCCAGACCACTATACAGGAAGATAAAAAACATACAGGAGTAGGCACTTCAATACATACATAGGGCATTAAAATGTTTATTATTATATTTAATTATTCAGCTACTAAAGATTAAAAATATATATGTAATTTACTTACCCACAAGCAACTGCACAGCCCGAGGGTGCATAAGCACATGCCATCACCCATGTACAGGGCACACTGATCCCATTCTCCTAAAACATACACAAATGTATACAGTATAATTTTATGCAAGAGCTACTTTCAGTGTGAGCTATGTGGAAATGGGTGTTAATCTGAGCTGTTATAAATGCACTCAGTGGCAGTCACACTCAAAGGGCAGATGGTCAGATAATCTGCATATACTGTTTTATGTGGCCTTTTGAGGCATATCTCTCAGAGGAGGATGACCCTCAGTGCTATTCAGCAACGGTCCATACAATGTAAATAGCATGACCATATTGCATAATAATGTTTTGCAAAAATTAGTGGGACTGTTAGATTAGACTGGGCATCCGTCAATGTCTAATATTTCCATGGAGTTACCGCTTCACTTTCTGAAACTTTTTAAAATTGTAATCTGTGTTTCTCAAACACAACTCACCTTGTTGAGAGTGAATCCATCCCAGACAATCACCTTTCCATCCTACATTACATAAATGCATTAATAATATATAAAATAATTGTAAAATCTTATTATATATTATAAATATATATTTTAGCTTTTACCTGTGAGGAGCTTACTAAACGTCGTTTGTCTTTGCACCAGTCCATGCAGAGCACCTTGTTTCCATGGCCTTTGAGCACACGCCTGGTCTTTATGGAAAGACTGCCCAAAACCTCAATCTTCTCAGCCACCTGATGGACTACACACATATGTATATGAATATTGGTTATATGGGTACTCTTACTAAAACACAAACTTCTGCCTATTTTGGAAACGAAATATTGGACTTTGCTTAAACATTTAAGAAGCAAATTTAAAAGAGGCAATAGCGTGACCAAACAACAAAAGAAAATTCAAGTGTGACAAGATCAACCTAGTAGCAGGCTGAACTATTAAAACATATGCTGTTGTTTTTCCTTATAAAGCTTATAGCGCTTCTGAAGTGGCCACGTTTGATCAGAAGCACTGGATCAATAACGGAATCTCTTCATATGAAACTTACGCTCCACGTCGTTGAGTTTGCCCCGCTCCTCCTCCAGCTTCTTCTTCAGACTGTCACACTCCCGCTTCAGAGACGCCACGCTCTCCCCGCTCTGGAGTCCCTGACAAGCCATCTTTACCGGGAAAAACAAAGACAAATGTATGACCACATGAGAAAAGCCCTCGGAGTGAGCTCCGACCTCCGGACTGGATGAGGTTTGTTAGAATTCGTGGATGGGCTGATGGAGCAGCAGTGTTCCCTGGTCCTACCCCTCCCCCCTGCGCAGAGTGGACACGGTGCAGACTTGACAGCTGATTTTTTTTATTTAAAAACACTTTTAAAAATTATGTTTTATGCTCTAATTTACTGAGTATTGATCAGGAAGACGGTGATCAAGTAGCCTATGAATCAAAGTGGAGTTTTAAATAAACCCCGGACCTCCACACAGCGTGCTTTTTGTATCTTTAAAAAAAAAAAAAAAAAAGAAGAAAGAAAGAAGGGGGGAGGGAGAAAGTTGCAGGTGTACCATTTCCACGCAGAAGGAGCAGTAGTTGATTGGCTCATTCTTGATGTAAATGTTCATGAGAGGGCTCGGTGTGGCACAGCTCTCACAGGGGCCAAAAGTGGCCGCCACAAAGGTTTGGTCACACATGGTCGCAGGTGTTTTACAGCAAACACGAACCTAAAAGAGATATGGAGAGACAGATTTTGCTTCACTGTGAGGTAAGTAGTTAGTAATCTACTCCAGCCTGATCCCTCTTTGAATTGCAGAGCAGAGGAACCATGTTGTAGCTATTCTGGGAACTGAGCAACTTCCGTCATTCAAAAATTTCGATGCATGTCTTTGTTTACGAATCAAACAAATGCTGCTACGTCCTCACTTCGGCGTCACATGCTGTTAAAATGGCATTTTACCACTGTCACTTATGAAATTAGAATGCTGAAAAATAATTCTGTACTAAATTCTTTGTTACTTATACAATTTAAATAGAACTACAATGTCCTAAACCATTGATCTCTTTAGCTACAGCTTTAGACCATCTTTGTAATTAATGTGTAGCTCCTGCACACCAATGTATACATTACAAGAGCAGATAACAGACTATCATTGAAATAAAACAGTCTGGACACAAAATTAATAAAATGAAAACTTGTGACAATAAGAATGTATTTTTTGTGTAGACCTACCTCACAAAAATGTATTTTCTCCCTTCTGTAGGTATGGGTCAGTGGACCTGGAGATTTCCAGTGAAGAGGATTGTCAGGAAGGGACAGAGAGGGAGCTGTAAGCTTCTTAACAAGTGTTTAAGCTGCAGGGTGCTTTTACTTCCCTACTTCTTCCTGTGAATCTCTGTGGTGTACTTGTGTCTACTTACTTCAGATATCTAGTCACTATTACATTTACAAACATATAAAACACATGCCCACAGTCAGTCAGAGTTGAATTCTTTTATTTTATACTTTTACAGATGACATTTATTACAAGTTTCTTAATTCTTCTTAACAGTGAACACATTCACTAAAGCACAGCTACCAGAAACTACAAACGGTCCATTTAGTCCATAAAGTACACATGGACCCGAGAGGGCTGATGGTGTGCACCAGAGTGAGAGCAGATGTCCTGGTGTGAAATGTCCTTACAATGGTACAGATAATGAGAGTGCTGATAAAGTTAGATATGTATTTATACGATTTGTATCTTAATATCCATCTCTGCCTTTAGACTACAACGATTCCAAGGAGGACTAAAACGCATTGCCCCGTGCACTCTTAAAGCAACAAGTCCCTGAAAGAATACTGCTTTTTTATATGTATACATTAAAACCTATTTATTTCTTACTACTAATGGCCTATACAATTTACATTAAAACAATGCAAGACACATCACTTAGAAAACCAAGTATGTTCACCCTGGGGGGGCTAGCTCAGTGGACACAGTTAAAGTGTAGAGGTGATCAGAAAGTATCCTACGCTCCAGGTTATTGATGAAATGACAAAAGTGCATTTTGGAACAGTGCACTCTAACACCGGGACAGCAAAACTACAGCACTACGAGTCAGATAAGGCTTTGTCCTCTGTGTTCAGTTGAAATGATGACACTTGTTTAAAACATTCATGTAGTGGATTGAGTCACTGCTGAAATAAAGTAAATACATAAGATTGTTGAATATATCCTCACAAAACTAAACAATAACTTCATATATTTGATCCTCCAGACATCATGACATGTCTTTTTTATTTAATGCACATATTAGTCATTGTGGAAACATGCAAAGGGTAATGTCAGAAGGCAAAAAACTTTGAGGAGAAAGACGCAAGTATTTGTTGAGGGTAAAAATAATGGCACAGTAGGAAGTGCAAAATAAAAAAGTTCTAAATATGAGACAATAGGACCAGTTACACACAATCATGAAACAGGCTTCTTTCAAGAGCATTTTCTAAAACTGTCCAGCAACTCTCAACTGCACTGCAGTTTGTGTTAAGTTAAAGCGTGCCATGCAGTTTGATTTGGATAATGTTTATGCTTATGCATCTTGGTTAACAACATTATTATACACAGTAGAAGGAGGCCCGATCAAGGGTCTTGCATGTGTGTCAAGCAGCCATATAACAATAAAATTATCAAGTGCATTGTGCGATTAACAAATGTATGGAAACAGGGAAACATCAACAAGATATGGCATATTTTTGGTAGCAGGAGCCTGCGGGGCTTTGTTGGCTTAACTTAAGGAAAGCATGTAGAAGAGAAGTAAGTAATAACACTGTTATAAAGCTGGACTTGAGACAAACCATGGCTGTGATACTTTCATTCTTTTCTTTACATGGTACACAATACAATGACACAACTAAAATAAATAAATAATCATGATAAAATATTTCAAGATATGACAAAAGGGTATAAGGACTGTGTGTGCTGTTTATGTGGTGTGGACAATTTGGTGTAGAACAGAGCAGTAAATGGGCAAGATTAAAGCAAATTAACCTGCAATCAAAACATGTGTTCCCATTATTCCAAACAGAGGAAAAGTGACAATCATGGACAGCAAGCATGTATTTAGAGTATGCACTTGTTATTACAAAAATGTAGTTGAAGTAGCTCTGAAGCAGGAATAATGGCTACATGGTTAGATAAAATTATATGTAATAGTATATGATTAATACAAGATGCTTAAGTGGAGAAACTGAGAAATTTGAAGCGCTTGATGCATATCGGAATAATTTTGTTCTGCATTAACGTCGATGCACACAGGCTTATTGTTGTCATCTAACAGCATTCAGCTCTGTGAGGCCACATATTTAGAGCAACATGAGATGGTTGATCACACAGAGGAAGGCAAAGCACAGGGATTGTAACAGGCAACCAGGATTTAAAATGGGACAAATCTATTAATCTATTTTGATAAGTCGTAGGCATTTATACAAGCAGAAGATGAATGCAGGTTGGTTTTGCATCCCCTGAATAATAGAAAATGTGTTTGTGCGTTGGTTTTTAATCCCTATGAAATTTTTACCACTTCATGAATGAAATCAGGCCAGTTTTTGGCATATTAGAAAATAAGAGCAATTGTGTGTGAATATGTGTGTCAAAAATCCACGGGATTTTGAAGAGTCACTTTGTAGTCATTTCATGCTTTTGAAAGGTTTTGTTGTATAAATAAGTGTTTTTATTACATGTGTTGTTATGTAATTTTTCATTGCCTGCAACAAAATACATGATCTATCTATTGAATGTTCTAAAAGCAGGAAAATGCAGGAGGTTCAGTCCATGTTAGACTCGTGTGAGGAAGCTCAGGTTGAGTGAGCTGGGAATCTGGATGGTTTCCAGAGCGAGAGAGGAAGGGTTGAACGGGAAAGTGACTGGATAAATCATCTTGGTGTCCATCAACAAATGAGGACTGTCACTGCGGTCTCGTAAGCGCGTCTACAATTGAAAAAATACAAGAGACGTAGAGCATGAGCAAAGGTAAAAGTACAAAATGAGTATCACCACCAGGTGGCAGTCAGGTTTTCTTTTCTCATTCTTTAGTGAAAAAAATAAGTACTTAACAGTATAAATGTTACACACCTTGATTACATCTGTTTAATTTAAGTGAGCGTTGTGTTAACGATGTTCACTACACATAAAAAAAGCTTTACATTTTACCTGTATAGTTCGTATGAATGCAACAGAAACTCTTTCTTCAAATTCGTTGACTGGAGTGTAGAGATTCAACACCTTCACAATCTGCAATGGGCAACAGTGATGCCACCAATCACCACAATGAAAAACCCTAAAGATGATCTAGTGTTCCATTTGATTTGTACCTGTGCAGTGGTGAGGGCCTGGCACATGGAGCAGATGGCCTCTGCGTCTTCATCGGTCTTCTTCTTCACCTGTAGGAGCTGTGCGGCCTGAATCAAAGGCTCCAGAGTCTCTTTGGCTCCACACCCCATCAGTCCCTTGTCCCTGAGCCACTCCTCCAGCTGGCTCACGTTATACCTGCACAACATGACTCTTAAGTATGGACAGGAAGGACCAACATGAGACATTTAACATCTCATGTATACAGTGTTTTCTACCTGATCTGCATGCCTTTGCTCCAGGAGCACATGTCCTTACGCAGCAGCAGGTTGTTGAGGGTGGCTGCTCCGATGATGTAGAACTGCTGTTTCACCACCTGTTTGATGAGCTCGGGGTCCATGCCGTGCTGACACATGGTGGAGTGGAAGGCGCTAAGCTGGCGCAGGATAGAGTCCAGCGTGTAGATGCCCTCATCGGCAATACTGGACGTCCGCTTTCTTAGACCTGTGGGCTTCACCCCTGACACGCCCTGAATGGTCTCATGCTCTAACATTCCAGGGACTGTGCACAACACACATACATCTCAGTTTTGTCCACCACCTGTTCTCAAGTAACTGAATAAATGAAGCCTAAATGTATTTACCTATCATGGGCAATAAGATGTTATCCATGCATTTGACAAGCTGCTGGTAAATCTGGATGGCAAGGTCACTGATCACTTGTCTGTACTCAGCCAAGTCAAAGTTTGATAGGCAATGTTCATTTTGCCTAACAGAGTTGTGTTTCATGAAGGCCTGACAAACACAAATACCTTCATCATTTACAATAGTTCTTTTAAACATCACTAAGTTATATCCTGTTTCTCACCTCATCTCCACTGTACTGTTTCAGACAATGCAGAAAGCGGCACGTGTTTGCGAGCCAGAAAGAGACTGTCTCAAAATCATCACCACGTTTCTGAGGGAAGAAAAAATAATATTTGTTACAAAGGAAAAAATATGTTACACATACTAGTATATTACTCAAGCACTGGGTGCAGAGACACACCTTTAAGATCTTCTTAATACTGTTGATAGTGGAGGTGAGCAAAGTACGGACTTTCTGATCATCATTTACATAGTCAGCATGTCTTAGACACATAAACAGAATATAAGCGGGAAGGCCTGGGATAAGATTCACCGCAACACCTCGAGGTTTCAGCTCTGTAAAAAGAGCATAAATGCTGAATATTGTATAATAATTATAGAATAAAAATGCTACACATACTACAAGTTTTCTAATTACCAAGAATAAGGTTCTTGACTAATTTCATCTCATCCTCCTTCTTGTACTCTAACATTCCCTGGAAGTCTTTCTCTCTGCGAGGAATATTAACTGGATGAATGGGCTCCTCCACCATCTGTCCTGGAGATGTCTGGCCCTCAGTCTGTCCCGCTGAGAAAAACAGACAAACAGTGGGTTCTAAAATATCATTTATAATCACATTTATAATTTTTTAAATACAAACTATAAGCAAAAACTTAATTAATGTAACATTGAGGGAAGATTAATACAAATCTGATCTAAGGGGCTCAAAACAGAGGACAGGAGTAAACAAGAGACAAAAAGATCTGGTTTAAATGGTGAAATTTGAATGCAATGATGATAATAATAATAAAAGTGTTTTTCATCAACTTCATTCAACTGTGAATTAATTACCTCCCATTTCTCCTATCCTTTTGGAGTAAACCTTTAGCTGTTTCTTGAGTTTGCGAATAGTTCTGTCCTGTTTCTCCAGTTGTTCCATGAGATCCTAAAATAACAAAAACAGAGTCAGGGAAAAGGGGATAATATGCAGTGACAAAGGGTTACTTAATCAGTGCTTGAAACAGGAAGCCTAGTTTATTCTTGTCATTTGATTTGTATTTGATTGTCTCAAAAGAGCGGAGCAAGTTGGAACAAAGTGGCATTGCTGTTAAGGAAAAGGGAAAAGTGCTGAGCTATCTCACTGTGAGATATGAGAATATTCTGCCAAGAGTTAAAGCAGCAATGCAAAAGTACAAATTCTGTTTAAATTTGGTTAGTTGAGACACATGCAAACAAGATTCACACAAATGCATTTCCTGACACTACATACAACCATCCGCCGCAAAATGATGACTCTGGCCTCTCGGGATTCAGTTGGGTCATCAGTCATGAGCTCCTGTCAGAGTGAGTGTCAGGTGAGTGTTGGCTCCCAGTAAATGAAGAACTATTGAACAATCTTTTTCAGCTTAAAGAAGCACTTGTGAATTTAATACAGACCTGCAACTTGAGACCTGAATATACAATCATAGTAGCTTATGGTATTATCATCATCAGCTTCTAATATTATTACCGTTTCATTAGGCGTGAATTTCTATGTATCATCACTTTTTAGTAAATAATAAATATGTTTTTATATGTTTTTTTTGTATAGTTCTCTTTCTTTTAAGATAATAAGGGAAAATACGTCTTTTGGGTATGATGTGCAAAATTTTGTGTGTTAAATGTGTAGCAATATTTAACACACAACATTTGCTAGACATTGTACCCAAAAGACACAGCTGTGTCCCTGCGCAAAGAACCAACCCTATCTCCAATTGAAAATCTGTTTCTGAAGATCTGTTTGGATCCATGCACCACTCCTTATCCTTGTTATTCTTGAAAAGATAATAATAAACTTAATATTTAACGTGGCTTAGACTTCCTAAGCTCTTGAATAATATTACACATAAGATGACACATTTTAATGTTTCCAGTGTGTCTTTGAAGAACATCTGATTTTTTACTAAAAAGACCCACTGACGCATGCCCATCTTTCATCTTAATGGAGCCCCACAGTCCCACTCACTTCGAAGTTCGCCCTAGCTCCAGAACTCACATTTCCATTCATTTTTCAGGTATCACAGACACTAACCAGCTAATTAATATCCATAATGTGGTTGTTTTAAGTCCAAAAAGCAAATCTAAAACACAGGATTCTGTGAAAGTTTTTAATACAGTTTATAGCGTTTATAGCAAGCGTTCAAATTTTAAATTTTTTTTTTTTCTGGAAAGCATATGGAACAAATTTATGAGATATTTACTTACAGAACTGGAGGGGTGGTAGGTCACTGGGCCTCATAATTTAAAATATTTTGTATGTAAAAATGAGTCATCATAGTATTCAGATCCAATTCAGACAGATATGACAAATATTAACTTGCTAAAAGGGGCAGTATTTAGTTTGGAGCAGTGGCTGTAAACGTGTGACTTGGCGTGTTGTGCGTTGGGCGTACCAGGTTTTCATTGGTGAGGCGGGTGATCTCATGCTGCAGGCTGGCTTCAATGCGGGCCTCTGGGGGTAACTGCAGGTTCTGGGCCAGGAGCTGCTGCTGACGATTGTTCTCCTCTTTCACACTCTGCAGCTCGCCGCGCAGAGACTCCACCTCATTATCATGGCTCCTCCGCTGAGTCTGCAGCTGCTGCTCCAACAATCTGAGGGTGAGCGAGAAGGTATGAAGAGGGCAAAGGAGCAACAAAAATATATCATCAAATGTGACTTAAGTGTTAAAGGCTCCAAGTGAAGGTACCTTAAGTAAAACCCACAGCCAAACACAGCACAGCGACAGTGGATATGACATGCTGTGAAAATACTATACAATTACTCCTGAACTCAGAAGATCTACCACAGGGTGTCACTGTCAAACTGAATATGGCCATGTCCAGTCTCTATTCACTTGCTGCTGTTGAGAGTTCGGATGTGCCCTCTATGGTTTTGCCAAGTGTTTGTAATGCAATAGGTCAGAGGTTGCAGTCAGCTGCAGATAGGTGGAGCCAACAGAGCCTTGATACTTCATTTTCACTCTGGGGGTTGCAGCCAGTAGAACATATACACTATGTTTAAAGCCTCATTTCCATAGGGCCGGTACGGAAAGAGTGTTTCCACTACCCCCTTTGAGTCCAAAGCGGACTGGAATGGTTGGGACCTAAGACCGGCTTGCGGGAAGCAGTGCTATACATGCCCCGCGCAGTCATTGGAGGACCAGCAGCAGCACACTAACAACGACACACGTGTGGCAACTCGTAGGCTAAATACGATGCGAACCTGTAACTTATTTAACTACAGCGCAGGTGCTCACTTTCCGGTAAAACAGAAGACTTAAAGAAACATTGTGCAGTGTGAAATTATATCCACCCAAAGACACATCCAATCTCCAGTGCGTTTACAGAGTATCAAAGCCAAAGTGTTGTGCGCAATAATAAATCCACATCACACACAGTGTGCTGTGTCCGCATAAAGTTGAAGCCAAACTGATAGATAACATGAACCAAACTCCGCAACCATTCTCCTCCTTGGACCCCAGTAAAAGCTTAATTCCCAAATCTGGTGTATATATCCAGGGTGGAGCACATGTGCGTAAAGCTGCAGCCAAACAAGACGCGTAAAGTTTTTCATAATCCTTAATTCCATAATTTCCAAAGTTATTTATCAAAACGAGAGCACGTGCACTGAGGCGACGCAGAGCACATGCTTGAAACTTGAGCACGTGTCAGTCCATGTGAGGATCAGCTGTGCGCTCTGGTTTATTTGGCATTTGTTTTGAGTTTTATTTGAACACAGATCAGTGTTTTTGCTCCATAAGTTTAGCACAGGCAGACAGCCGTCCAGTGGCTTGTGGCGCAGGCCTACGTCATGCCAGTGGGTGTGTCTTTTTCTAGACCTGTGTAACGCCCAAAGCAGCCTGAGTCTATTGTAATGGAAACGCTCCCCGGGTGGTTGGCGCCAGTGGAAGTGAGGCTTTACTGTCTCTCCAGTCACTGATCAAGCTAGCTGTGTTCTTGATCAAACAACCACCACGTCAACTCTTAGTGACTTAATTATAGCAAAAAATATACAAAATATATAGTAACCTTGGATATGCGGCAAAATGTTACGCATATTTTGAAACACTCCAACCAACACCACAAAATGCATTAAATTAAAACATGGAATCACCCAGCAAGATATTGTCTTGTGACTAAATAAAGTGAAAAAGCGCCAGTAGTAGTGTATGGGCAAACCATGCACCAAAGCATAGCATCACAGTTACACCTGATTGTCTCCTTTAAGCCCTGATTAACCAGCCACAGCTCCCCATCCTCATTCAGCTTATGGATGTCTGGTGCAGCTGATCTGACCAACACAAAACACAAGGAAATGTGAACATACAAAGGACAAACAATAGGAAATGCATGAGTTGGGATTGTTCATGACACACAATGCATGTTAAGCAATGAGGCGACACAAGTGAAACTAATAAATGAGAAACTGGCAAAGCAACAGAGGAGTGACAACAAATGGATATAAGAGTTTAAAAGGTATGTTATGCTATAAAAATACAGTAGAATTAAAAGGTCTGCAAACTGTAGGAGTGACACAAAAATGATTTGGAAACAAGCTGCAAAGTGGTTACATTTTGAGAACAAGTGAGAAGTGGACTTTAGTGTGTGGTTTGGGGAACAAGGATATGGGTTAAATGTGAATCACTGATAAAGGAAGTGAAATAGATGCAGGTGAGCGTCATGGCTTGTGCTGAGAGGTTTACTTTAACACAAACAGTGACATGCAGAATTCAGAATTCTGAAACTCCATAAAACTGGAGACAGGAGGCCTGCAGTGGTTAGTGGCTACTAAATCTGTAAACGCTAAATAAGAGCCTTGAAGTTTTCAAAAACCTTAGAAGCCATGCACATTCAAAAAGCCTGACTGAAGTCTAATTTGAACAACCAGCAATTTTGTATTAGACATAGGTTGTAAATAAAAGTCTAATGAAACCTAGCGCCATTTCACTGTGTTCATTGCCTTGTTTGTACAACCCTCTTTGGCAGTTGGCAACATGGTGGCCATGCATGCTCACTCATGATGCCCTGGCCACTGGATTACCTGAGCCTACTTAGAAGTTCACCCATATCCAGAGACTTGGGCATAAACCTAGAAGATCTGCACAGGACAAATATTTTCAGATGATGATGATGATCCAGACAATCAAACTAAGACCCCGACTTTGATTTAAGAAATTAAGTAATGATGTCAAAAATTACCTGTTGGTGTCTTTGAGACCCACATAGGCTTGCTTGAGCTCATCGGCATCTTTAAGCTTGGACACATCTTGAGCAAAAACAGAAGGTTCAGTCATGGTTTCCTGTAGAAAAAGAAATTAAAAAGGGGCAACATTACTAGATTGTTATCATAACCAAATTCCTTAACATGAGATTTTTGTAAAAGTAGTGTACATTTACTGCTGTAGCAGCATCATATGCAACATTTGCTATTTTTCAACTTCAGTTTTGTGAAAAGGTGTGCTAAAAATGTTTAGAGTTGAGCTGGTGTTCACAGAAGATGATGTGTTTTTAACCTTTATATTACCAGATTAAGAATCTGATCATTTTTCTTATTTTTATGTGGCACACATTGCTTAAGTAGCAAGTGACCTAAAATGAAGAAATGCTCTACTGGTGTGAAGGCTTAATTAAGCCAATTATTATTTGTCACTAAAGAATGATAGAGCAGATACTATCTGACAAGGCTGTCATGCAGTATTCTAAATGAGGATGCTAAAGTTAGCGCCATAGACAGATGTTATGCTGACGTGGTGTGGATGTTTTCAGTTGAAGCCAGGTTAACATGCAGACATAAATACAATGACACAGTGTTTTTGGAAGGTAGTTTAAAACACTGCCCAAGTAGAGAACAAACACTGTCAATGCATTCACACAATAAACAGTACCTTCTCATCCTGTAGGCAAGCATGGATGGAGGAGAGAAGGTGAGGACAATCATATTAGACACACATAAAATAATAACTGTTAATTGACAATGGAAAATGAAAACATAACTTACAGTACTAAAGATGGATTTAAGTGTTTTTTGTCAATTTATACAAAAACAATTGCACACAATGAAAACAGGAGAGCAGGATTTCCTAGATTCTGAAAGCCACATAATGCTAGTACCTTGTGGTGGAAGGCTTCCTTTTGGCTGACCAGTTGAGAGCGCAGAATGAGCACCTCCTCCTTGCGCACGTCTAGCTCTTCACAGGAGGCATTGAGCTGATCCAGGAGCACCTTGTAAGCAGGAGACCCAGGGGCCCCCATGTTAGCAGACTTATCCCCCAGTAAACTCTGCCTCATCTCGGCCAGGTCATGCTTCAATTTCTTGTTCTCAGACTCAAGTTCCTGACGCTATGAGAAAAAAGTGACAAAAAAATGCAACGAATTAAACAAAATTAAAGTCAACCTATGTCAAATATGTTTACTTATAAGAGTTTACTTTGAGGGACTCGTATTCAAGCTCTGCTCCACGGGCCTTTTTAAACTCTGCATCATCCTAAAAAGAAAAAAAAAAAACATTAATTACTTTGAATTAATTATTTTCAATTTTTGTAGTACAAAATTATTATCTGTAGCGGTACCCTGGCTCTAGCCCGCTGGTACTGCTCTTCTTTGTTTTCTAACTCATCGCGCAGAGACTGTTTTTCTTGTTCGAGTTCTGTTAGACGCTTCTGGAGCTTCAGAGTAAGAGTTGTGTCTAGTCCTCGCGTTACGTCCTGCATGGGAGAAGGATAATACATTAAATAATAATAAAAGACACATAGATGAGTGCTAGCTGTATTGCCGTCTCCAATTAAACAAATAAAGCTGGCTTACTTCTCTAGTTCTGGAGCTGTTGTCCATGTCTGTGTATTCTGAGTTGTAGGTGTACTCTGACTCATTGCTGCTGTGAGTGGAGTCTGTTCTCCTGTGCCCAGGCTTGGAGATGTGCTAGTAACACAAAAGATCAAATGATTACCATATACAACTATTAATATAAATGACAAATTTCCTCTGTAAACATACGCTCAAATAAATAAAGCCTATGAAAACAACAGTTGCACATGTAAGTGAGATTCAATAAAATTTTATGGAAAGTAAAATGGACATCAGTTACTCACAGTAGAAATCTCTTCTTTCAGGTCATCGTACTTCTCCTCCAGGCGAAGGTGTTCAGAGAGGAGATTCTGGTAACGAGAACGCTCCTCGTTCAAATCTGTTTCAAGTTGCTGAGTCTCTTGTGCTATTGCTCGAGCCATTTTCTCTGTAAAAAGCATCACAATTATTCAACTTTTTATAATTAATTACATTTCTAAAACCCGATGTAGCTGTAAACATATTTACATTTATTTCTATGCTATTAAGATTATTATTGTAAATTATGTACTTGCCTGTCATCTGTTGACTCTGTTCCTGAATCAGCCTGTTCAAATCGTCCTTCTCTTTCTTCAGTGAACCATTCTGGTCTTTGAGTTCTGACACCATCTGAAATAGTTAAAAAAAACAGCTCTAATCATACATTTTGACCTCAATTTTATATATTTTTTAATAAATATAAAATATGTAGGCTAAAGTTATTTAAGGTAATTTTCTAAAAAGCTACAGAAATAAGCTACTACTGAAACACAAGTACAAGTAGTGCCCTGAACCTACAATTGCTGCCTCTCACCAGAACGGGGGCAATAATGATCATTTTCCCTTGTTCGCCATGATCGGTCTGTTTCCTAGATTGCAGGAAAATAATGCTTTTTCTGTCATGTAAATTAAGTGTATGAAACATCTCCTACATGTGCTATGCAAGTGTTTCGGTGAAACTGACAGATAAGCAACAGTGACTTGGAGTCTGACCTTTTCCATTTCGGCCTTGTAGTTTTGCGCCCAGTCCTCAATAGTTCTCTTTTCTTGTTGTGTGGTGGTCAGCTCTTTCTTTAACCTCTCCAGTTCCTCCAGGAGTGTTGATAACTGGTTAGCTTTGTTCTTTGCATCTTCTTCCACACCATGAAGACGATTGAGCTCACTTCGCATTTTTTCACTTTCTGCTGTATATGAACTTTCTATACTAACAAGCCTTTCATTGACCAAACGATTTTCTTTGTTCTAAAGGAAGAAAAGATCTTTAGAGCCACAAAACCAGTAAATAAGACACATTTGAACTAAATGAAGAAAATGAGGGACCTGCTCATCTATCTTTCTCTGTAGCTGCATGATCTTGTTTTCCATGCCTTTGTTGAGCTTTTTGAAGTGCTCCACAGAGCGAGCCTCAATCTTGAGTTTCTTCAGCTCACGTCTGGCTCTCATCCTGCGAATGCAGCACTGCAGGTAAACAATGGAGCGGAGGCAGCGCTTGTACCAACACCGGGCCAACCACCCTCGGACACGTTTTTGAATGATGACAACCTTAGCCTCCCGGACGAGCTACAAACATATATATATATTTATAGTCATGAACAAGGGAAACAAAACCCATTCAAAATAATATTTTTCTTTTTTTACTTTACCGCTAGATACTTCTGGCGGGCCATGTAAGCTCGGAGGATTCTCTGCATGGCCAAAGCGACTGCCTGCTTCTGCTTGTAGCGCTTCCTCTCCACATACATCCGCTGATACTTCTGTATGATAGTAGCTGCCTGGGTGCGCCGCAGAAACTTTGCCAAGCTATAGAACAACAAGACATTTTGATGTGTCAAGTATCACTGTGATTATGTTGTGGTCAATGTGTATATTTATGAACACACAAGATTCAATAAAAGTGTTGTATTAGGCAGTATGTGTAGTGTACAAACCAGCGGGCCTGGTATCCCCGGGTGAACCTCTGGATCGTGATAGCAGCCTTGCGTTGACGAAGATACTTCTTCCGAGCCAGCCAGCAGCGAATCGTTTTCTGGATGCGAATACATGCAGCACGCAATTTGTCTGCCCTGAGCTTCTCCAGATAAGCCACCTGGCCAGCTCTGAAGAAGATTTTTGTTTTACCAAACTGGTATTTATCTTGATCCTGGTAAACCCAAATATAGGTGAGCATTTCATACATTTTTGTACTACATATCTGTTGGTTTACTAATTGCTAGTGCAAGTCACCTGGACAAGTTTCTCCAGGACATTTCGGCAGGTTAACTTTTTGTCTGGAAGGACATCCTTTTGCTTCATCAGGACTCTATACCGACTGAAGAACTCCTGATAGGTCCACCTAGAACAGGCATGAAAGTGCAACTCAGCAACACACCCACATGCAGTTTGTAAGATAATAAATAGACATTATTTGTCATTACCTGGATGGGAACCCTGCTGCAGAGATGCGAATGGTTTCCAGAACACCACAGGCTCTGAGCTGCTGCACTGCACGTTTAGGATCAAATCTGTTAAAGAAAAAAAAAAATTGTGAACTTAAAAAGTCACATCATCTAAACAGGACTACTATGAGGCTAGGTTTTGTTATATGTGATAACACTGCAACTCTCTGTGACCAGAGCAGAATGTGTCAGTAGGGAATAAACTTACGTAAAGGCCTGCTTGAAGTCATTGGGCTTGATGCATCGAACATAATGTGGAGTGGTAGCATTCAGAGTATCCATCAGCATTTGAAGAGAGTTTCGAAACTGTATCAAGACAGATATTATACAAATCAGAAATAGTAATAGAAATATTTTTTCTTAATTAAAGAACAAAATAAGGTAATTATCAATTAATCAAATGTGGTCAACATTAACCTGGCAGCCAACTGTCTTCTTGTGTTCCTTGCTGCTCTTGTCACGACTCTTATCAGGTTTGACGCTGAGTCGTGTTCGGCCTCCGGTCCCAGGGACTTGTCCAGTTGGACTTATGGCCTTTTCCTCATCCTGGAACAGCTCCACTAACAAGTTGAACTAGAAAAATAAAATGAAAGTGAGACACAGTAATTTACTGCTGTCAGATCTATTTTAGATATATTTTTTGTATAAGTTAGATATATTTTTTGTCTTTTTTGGTACATTTAGTTTATGTAAGTGATCAAAATAGGCCAGACTGTGCAGATTATATTAACTAATAATATCATTTACACTTTAGTTTCAGTAATGTGAGCAGATGATTGATAATTATATTGTTAGTGAAAATTTGTTACTTGAAGATTTATTAACAACAATATATTATAAACAAATGTTATGAATTATTTAGTATAGGCTGCCAAGTACCATATAACCTTCAGGTTATATGAGGAAGATGCTGTGTTATGTGCATATTATGTCTTCCTGTTGTGCTCAGAGCACTGCCATGCACTTTCCTCCTTCCTCCAGCACCATGAACACAGTTACTTGTGTCCCACCCTTTCCCTCAAAAAGTGCTTCAAATGCAGCTGTCACACATTACATATTCACATAGTGCAGTTAGTGACACAAACTTTGTGAACAGACAAGAGAGGCACACAGGAAAAAAAGCTAAGAACATGAGGTGAACCTGCTGAAACACCTGGGTTTACCTTCTGGAAATGTTGTCATGACGATGTAGACACAACCACATGACAAGGATAACACACAAAAAGACAATGAGAAACAAATACTGTGGCATTACAATGATATATGAAAAACTAAACTTAAAAAAAATTGAAAGAAATATCCACAAGTGTTATGTGCACTAATATTAGAGGTGCCAAAGGGAAATGCTGCCTCTTGAAGTACATATGTAATGTATTGCAGTGTAAGAGAAACAGAGCCCCATTCTGATTTTGTACAACTCTAGAAGAATATTGAGAGATAACTTTTTAATCATGTGGACAAACACATGGTGGAAGTAAGTGCAACCCACAACAGTGACGAGGATTTAAAGGCTTAGTATGCTCTATTCCCAAACAGGACTTTACAAACTCAGATCCTAGTCAGAGACACGTGTGACAAATGTGTATGCAGTATAATTTGAATGGAAAATGAGTCACATTTATTATTGTTATTATTATCTGCATATTTTTATATTATTAAAAAAAACATTAAGCTTAACTTTAAGTTATCATGTTATTGCTTCCATTTAAATATTTTTCTTTGGAGTTATGTATTTAACAAAAAAAAAGACATGTGTCCTGCTGATTCTACAGGCATAAAATCAGTGTTTCACAGATACAGTATGTCTATCATTTGTGTCACGATGACCTCACATTGCCAGCAGAGGGTGCTGCATTGCTGACTGTTCAGATTTAAACGACAACGTGTTTGCAAAGTGCTTGCACACTTCAGAACCATGTTTACACTGCATGTTGGGTACAAAACAGAGAACTTGCTGTGAAGACTACACACTGAACACTGCTACACAATAGTGTTTGCATAGCTCACCTTGCTGGCCTTCAGCACATTAATTTGGTCTTCATTTACAGTGTCCTTGTTCTTTTCCAGGAAACCCTCACACTGATATTCTACCTAAAAAGAAAAGAAAATGTCACCCTTCTATGGTTGTTAATCTACACTGTCCCAGTTAAAAGAATAAATACATATAAACTGTGTGGTCATGTGCATAAAAATAGGAGCCCACCTTGTCAGCAAAGTGCTGTATGATGAAGGCGCGGTTGGACATGCGCGGCTTCTCAAACAGAGAACAAGTCTTAAGATGTGTGTTGTACAATTTCTGTGCCCAGGAGTCATCAGAACCTTTAGGCATCTGGATTCAAAGAAAAAAATGTTTATGATCACAAATATCTTGGAGAACTTTAGACAACTTTAAGCAATGTTACAGTAAAAGTAATTCTTCAGCGTTGTAACTTGAATGGTATCACGATCTGGACAGCCTCAAAAGTCAACAAATCATAAATGACCTTTTAAGTGTACTTTGTAGAGACTGGCAAGTTTGAACATAGTATAGCAACATAAACTATATTTACACATTTATTTAGTGATGACTGTATATTTACATGTACAAGTATAATAGTATACAAGTATTATATATACTGTATTCATTGAAAGTCTTGTTTACACATTTCAGATTTTGCCATTACTCTAAAAATTATTACCTTGCACTCTTCATCCAGAAGATCTAGGATACCCATTTTGGCCTCTATAAGATTAATGCAGGGTTGATTGTCATAGAAATCTATGAGAGTCCAGGGAATCTGCTCCTTCATATATTCCTCCTGTTCCAACTTAAAGACATGCTGCGTATGCACCCAAAAAGGTTATGTTCTGCACATTGTTCTCATTTCAGCAGTACACAGTCCAATTGTTTACATCACTCACCATGTTGAACTGTTGCTGAAGTTTCTCATTTGCATAGTTAATACAGAACTGCTCAAAGCTGTTGATATCAAATGTCTCAAACCTTAGGGTAAGGAAGCAATTAAATAAATTAAATGTTGTATTTGTTGTTTATAGCCAACATATACTGTAATTTATATGTATAACACACCTACCCATAGATGTCGAGAACCCCGATAAATGAGTGCTGTTTAACATTTGCGATCAGGGCCTTGTTCACATGCTCCACAATCCAGTTAAAAAGCTTGGCGTAGATATGTTTAGACAGGGCATCTCGGGCGTTGGTGGCTTGGAGCCGAGGAAGAGTTTTGATGTAAGTCTCTGTAGCGGTCTTCAGCCTCCTGTGACACAGCCACTGGGACATGTCCTGGTAACTGACCCCCACAAGCTCACAGAAAGATGTCAAGTGGCTGTTGTTTGGCTAAAACAGTATCAGAAAGGACCTTAAGTTACATCACAGGTTAAACAGTGTAACTCACTATAAACCTTAAATACTTACAGCTATTAAACTGCTGTCAGAATCCCTGTCCTTTATTTCTACATTCCCCAGATGAAGAATAGCAGCTAGCACCTGAAACAGGCCCATCTGATATGATTCATTTATCCCTGTAAATCAACACAAACATGACTGGTGAAACAAACGCAATAAAGCTCAATCATTTTACCTAATGGTAATGTGCATAAATGTATGTGTTTTCCTTCTACAATTGTTTATTTCACAAAATAAATATTTGTTGTGTTTTACCTAATAGTGTAAAGGCATTTCGTGTGGTACTGAGCTCCTTGGTGTCATCCACACCATCAATAACAGGATTACGTCCTTGCCTGGTGTACAGAAAATCACTTGCATGTCCTGCAAGAAAAAACAACAACATATTAGTTACACGTATGTTTAAATTAAGTTAAATTTCCCTTGTATTTATTTATTTATTGTTTTTCTTTGTAAACATACAAATGAACAATTAAACAAAAGTCTACAATTAGTTGATTTTACAACACTTTTAAAAATGATGGCCTGTCGCCTAGCAACAAGCCACCTCAATATACGTGGCACTTCTCGATGGAAAGAGCCAGGATGTCAGCAGGAAAGGAAGGGACAACAGCTGCCCATCTGAGAGTGTTGGTTATGCACAAGAGAAAAGAGGCCAACAGAGCGACCATGGTAGAGCAGTGCGCAGGTGCAGAGTACACAATGGGGGCAGCGTCAGGGTCTGTACAACCCCATGTGTTCTAATGCTGCTACTGAATTATCTTAGATCAGTTTGAGACAGCACTTTTGACTCATCATCAAAAGCCGTGGGAATATGGACACTTAAAAATAAAGTTAACACTTTGCTGTATTTGGGTAAGTAGCAAACATCTAGACTTACCTAATTTCAATACTTTTAACTCGGGCAGATGAGCTGAGGCACAGAGCTGGTAGAAGATATGGTAATTTCTCTCGTCGTCAGCCTAAAGCAAATGCACACACTACAATGACAACAATGCAGTGTAGAAAAAGCTATAGTTGTTGTCATGTCACAAATTTCAATGTCGGGAAGAAGAAGAGACACAGTGGGCAATGTTTATTAGAGAGAAATCATTAACCATTGAGGAAAAACGTGTTTCTGAATTGTATTTTAACCACAAGCAAAGGAATTATTGTTTATTTTTTTATTTACCTGAGACAGGGACAGCGCACAATTTTTACATTAACCTTAACAGGAGAGATGCATTGTACCAAGTTGTAGCATCAGTGCTAATTTCCCCCTGTAGTCCCTTGGCAGATTCATTGATTGATTGTATTTATCTGACCTTAACTATCAACTATTCTTCCTGGAGACCTACAGAGCATGTTTTGGGAATTAAAAATGCACAGTCTTAAAAATAAATGTTGAATTTTTTTATGACTTACTTTTCTGGAGTAATGAAATTTGATTTGCGATATATGTTTAAAAAGTAGGATTCTGTTCAGAGAGCACGCTGTAAACAACCCCTGAAAGTCTAAAACATTCACTAATAAGATAATGCAAAAAAGATTGTAGAGGTCTAAAACTACAGGTACAGCAAGATGTTAATAAAAAGACAGGATATTTTGTTCTTTGCAGAGGACATCCTATTATCTAAAGAGTCAAACTGTGATTTTGGTTTGATTGCCATAAATTATGCAGCCCTAAAAGCATAAAACATTTATAAATCCATGGGAAATAAGTAAATGAGCAGTGGTTTCACTTGTAATCTCCAAACTCTGCTCTGGTGTTACTGTGCCTGAATACAGACAGCAAACACACATAAAGGTGCACACCTGCTCACACCTACAAAGGGGTGGCACTTGGCATGAGAAAAATGTAGATTGGGAAGTAGCCTGAAGTTTCCTGTAACATCCTCATTCCTCAAGAACTGCATTGTGTGTACTTGCTCTCTTTCCAGAAATACATTTATAAGTGAAAGCAATAACTGGTGAATTGAACTTAGGAGAAAAGGTTCTTAAATAAAACTATAGTAAACTTAACCTTAACAAGAACCTGGTGGACCATAAGGTGCATAAGTGTATTCATGTGCATTGTAACGAGGCAGACTCCTTTGTCTTCTGTTACTTGTCTGCGTAAAAAAAGCTATTAGTGCCACATAGTTCTGCAGCTCTAAAGGGATCCAGGAACACTCTCACAGCTGAAGTATCAGTAAAAGCTGATTTACTGAGGCACATGGTCAGGTCATTGGTCAAGTATAGTTTATATAAAAAATATAAATAAAAACAGTTCAGTAACAACAGTTCAGTGCATTGTGAAAATATGATATATTGTGTACTCACCTGGAACACCACTCGCGATTTTTCCAAAAGATATGTTCTCATGTTGGCACCAATAATGCGGTAGCGGTTGTCAAAACCAATTTCGATATATTTCCCAAACCGACTGCTGTTGTCATTTCTGGTGGTCTTTGCATTTCCAATGGCCTATAACACAAATATAATAAGGGTACGAAGTTTGCTACAGTAGTTTAATGACAAGAATGAATAGCTGCAAAATTATTCACAGTAAATCAGCAGAAAATGTTGTTAACTAAAGGCCGCCACACAAAGGATTTTTCGGTCTTAAACGATTTTTAAACGTGTGACAAAAAGCGCACACCACAGACACGAGGAGACTCTTATGAGACTTGAAATCCCCGATCACAAAGACTGCTGCGGGATAGGGTTGTGGAGCACAGGCTATAAAGTTCTGAGTGTGATCGCGTCAGCTGTTTCCTGATATATGATTTTGAAAGCATAAAAGATTACAGATAAAGTACAGGAAGCAGAGTCACTATCGTTCATCTACAGCTTCAGATCTGTGCACTGTGTGGATGTAAACAGACACACGTGAGGAACTACGCTCGCCTTTTTACTTTCAAAGAACGCCTCAAACTGAATTAACAGGTTTTGTGGACTGGATGTCATTACTTACGGAGGACAGTTTCTATGGACAATGTGGATGAGATGCTGCACTTTAAATTTACAACTTTACGAGAGGTGAGTAATAAAGTTCTCTCATTATTTTTTGCTATTTCCTGAGTTTGTATCTTGTGTCTCTGTGTCCATCACTCCATCTGCCCCTGATGCACAGTTTTATTGGCTGTTATCATAGTGTTGCTGATGTTTGGTGGTTATGATCTGACAAAGCAGCTCAGAATAACACTGATACCACACACGAGGAGCGCAGCGGCGTCAAAATGGCACACAAAGACAAAAAGTCGGGTCACGCCTTCCCGACCTCAGAGAGAAGCAAATCGCAGCCAAAATCGGGCAAATTCTCCTGTAGTGTGTGGCAGCCTTAAGCTGCTGTGTAGTGAATTCTTCAAGATGTACTGTCCAATGTAGCCAACAAATTTGTATTTATGGAGAGAACATAATAATATATGTGTGATCTTTTTGATATTTTAGTCAGACCTTTAATTACTATAACACTTTGTGAACATTTTGGGCCTACATCAGTTTATATGTCTAAAAGTGTCTAGCATATAATTAGTTTTGCAGGGTAAATAACAATTACATAACACAATTGTGTGTTTTGAGAAAAAAAATTAAAACGCTATTTTCAGTCCCTTTCAATACTGAATATCAACAAATATCAAATTATCACTATCAGTAACAGAACTGAAAAATCTGCAATGGTGCAACCCTATGTAAAAGGTCTGAATGTTAAAAGTAGAATCATTGCTGCAAGAGAGAGCATGATTCTAGTCCTCTTTGCAGCTGGCTCATGATTGGCCAGGATGAATACAGTGACTGGAAGAAGAGCTGGAAATAAAGGATGGGGGTGGAGTGAGCATCATGGAGGCATTTAAAGAGCTCAAAAACCAATGGAAAAAAATACGCAAACATAAAACCAAAATACATACTAGAAAACTACCCTGCAGCTGGATAACATGAGTGGTGAATGCTAATGGAAAGCGTGAACTGAGTGTGCTTACAATATTAGTAAACAAATGGTATGAATGCCATAAACTTTAAAGGTTTACAGTGTAACTTTTCTAGCAAGGGAATGGTACCAGTGTGTTTCCATGGAGATGCTATTGGTTTGACAGGAATGTTTCACTGAATAGCACCTTTAAATTCACAGCAAACATTCAAAAACACCACTTGTAGTTTTGTGCATACAGCTAATAATCCCTCTGTTTGATACTGTATCCACATTAGCACTCACCTCCATGATGGGGTTTGAGGCTAGTACTTTCTCCTCGATGTTGGCTTCACTGGCTGACCCACTGACTGTGGCAAAGTATCTCATTGCGTATTTGGCAGAGACAGTCTTTCCAGCTCCAGATTCACCGCTCACAATGATTGACTGATTTCGTTCATCCCTGATCATAATAATACAAAAGTAAAGGTAAAAAAGACACATGAATACTCTACAGATATATACAGTGCAAACAGTAAAAACAAACAAAAAAAGTTTCTGATTTTTAATGTGAAATGCTGAAATGCTGACGTTTTATGAAAACTCCACATTTAAATTACAATAAAGCCCTACACAAAAATATTATAACATAATCACATCAAGTGAACATTCGCAGGGGACAGAATCTCTATTCACAAAAATAAATATTGAAGGCAATATCTTTGTCTTTCAAGACATTTCTGTGGGACTGTTATATATAAATATATTAAATCAAGCATTTTTTTTTGTATTTTGACAACATTACTGTGTATCTTTTTTTTATTTTTTTTATCATATACATTTTAACATTGACAATTTTATAGATAATTCAACAGAGTGACCATCTAACACATTAATGGCAATTTATTGAGGCAATAGAGATACTGGGACCATTGCCATAGGGTTATTTCTGGTTTAGCTTTGACCTACAAATGCCAAAGATAGAGAGAAGTGACTGGTCTACTCAGGTGACACTGGCACGCACACAAACCTGGCCATCTGTTTATAAGCCTCCTCCGCCACAGCAAAGATATGGGGGTCCATGTCTCCCATGTTCTGCCCGCTGTATGCATTGATGATGTCCGTACTATAGATCGGAAGGTTCTCATACGGGTTAATGGCCACCAAAACAATTCCTTCAACATGGAAAGTGTTTCATGAGTATTTTGCCGGTGAATATTTGAGATTAAGTGAATAACCTACCGCAGTATGTGTAGATGAGCTTGGAGTCGATAAAGCGGACTTTAAGGTTGTGGAGAACAGCCGGTTCATGCAGGTAGCTGAGCGCCGTGAGGTCATTCTCACCCACCAGGATGTCAGGGTTACGCAGGTGAGGCAGGTTCTTTGTTTTTGGGTCCAACTTGTGTTCAAGTTTCTAAAAATTAATACATAAATACCGACGAGCAAAATTAGGGTTGAGCTGAGACACAATTCCCACAAGAGATGAAACAAGACACGAGATTAAGTCCACCAGAACAAAACAACATTTTGACATAATAAATAAATTATGCAGCTGAGTTCACTATTTTGACCTCACAATTTTATTTTTGGAACTTCAGTATGTAACTCAGCAAAGTTCACCCTTTTTTCTCTAAAACAAATGCAAACACATGAAGAAATGTGTTGTCCAATCCATAAATCCCAAAGATATAAACAAGTGGAACACATTTCTATTATAGCTCGTTAAACTCACCAGATCATTTGCAGGAGACATACTGGCCTAATTAAAACTAAGGTCTTTCCCAAAGCTTGAAAAGAATCCTTCAAAAGAGCCCCTAGTGAATGCATCTCCTTTGGTCTCCTCTCTGACTGTCTAAGGAGACGAGGAGTAGTTATGTCCTCTGATGTCCAGTCCCATGTGGGACTAGATGCACAAAAATATGATAAGATCACCCTTTCATCTTGAGTGGATCTTTCACAACATTTTAAACCTGATCTAATCATTTGGTCTTGTTCCATCTTGACCTCTGGCCTGTATTATATATATAAACCTTCAAATCTAACGCATAGAATCAGTTTGAAAAATATATTCACTGCGCTTATAACAATTTCTTTAGTACGCTGCACATGACAAAATAATGATGTGTGAAATTGTAAGAATCCTTTTATGAACTTCAGTTATGTAAAGATGAAATGGATTACTGCATTAATGTTATAATTATGCACATTTTAACATACAGAATTCATACAAGACATTATGCCTTTGTCCTAGTACTTAATAACATTTTTATATATATTATAATATTTGTTATCATTGTAAACATGAAAATGTATCTTAAAAAGGCTTATTAATAGAAATGTGACCCCTGCCTCTTCATAGTTATTGTTTTGTATAATATGTCCTCTTTTATAAATACACTTGGCTGTAAAAAAGTGTTTAATTGCATGTACATAATCTCTGTACTTGGTTGTGTTAGTCACCTCAATAGTTAAAATTTCATAGTATCGTTTGATAGATGGTGAGCCTTTGAGGATTGCGATAATGAAAATTCCTGAATTGTACCATTAAAGAATGTGCAAGGTAATTAAGATACAGCAACAGATGTATAGTGCTTCAAGTAGCATCTTTGCGGCCAGGTCTTCTTTGTGGTGAGTTGCCATAGTGAAATATCAATAGCCACTAATGAGATGTGTGAGTGTTTTCTATGTGATGCAGCTGAGAGAACCAATGAAAGTCCCTTCATCCTTCTGTTCCTCACCGTTCCATCCTCCAACATAAGCTGCAGGGATTGGTCTCCATTGTTGTAGTCCTTCACCAGCTCAGCAGACTTCCAGACCTCGTCCACATCGGGGATCCACACCCGGGCACACTGAAAAAGGGAGACAAATTTTAATTCATTTATTTATATTTGATTACCATCATGGTAGCTTCCTGATCCATATCAAATGATAAATACGTGTCTCCATTATGTTCCCAGTCATGGGAGCATGGCTTTAATGGTAAGTTATAAAAACAAGTAGTAGCTTATGAGATATGCGGTTGTGTGTAAAAAGTGTGGTTTGACTTGCCCTCAAAGACACAATGGATACTATCAAACTACTTCAGTCCATCTCTGGCTTGGAGCTGGAGAGAATCAGCTGATCGCAGACTGAGGGAAAAACAACAGCGATGAACACTGACAGTCACATGGCAGGAGGAATGCAGGGCTGGGAGTGGATGACCGTCTGCAGACGCTCAGACGCACTGGTCATACACAGCAGGAGAGTGCACGGTTAACGCAACGTCACAACTAAGGAGAGTGATGTGACCTTAAAAACCCCAGAGAAAGTTTACCACTTTGTTTATTGATAACAATGAATAAGATTAGACATATTATAATCAAACTAAAGTAAATGGAATATTTCGATAAAGCAGGGGAGTCTATTGCCACAAAGAGTGCAGAAAATTGTATTGTATATTGTATTGTAATATTTAACACATGTAATTTCGGACAGCAAAATGTGTCTATTGTGTTAACCAATTGCTCTTTGTGCTGTTGTCACAATACAAACATGTCAAACTCAATTTTGATATTCAAACCTGATACAAATTGTTCTCATTTGCACTGATAACATGATGACAATAACACACTGAATTTAATAAAAAAAAAAAAAAAACAATAATATTAGTTTAATACTTTTTTGTAGTCTTAGACTGATCAATACCAGATCTGAGACACATGACAAACAAAATGGACGTTTTGCAACAATTTCATGGCGTCTTTTGGCCGTGTTACATAAATGGCAATGAAAATTTTCCAGATACAAGAAAAGGGAGCTCTTTGTTCGACAGGCCAGTGGGAAAGGGACTGGTGGATTTGGTCAGCTGCCTCATTATGGATCTTCTGAATCATGACATCATGGTCACACAACCAGTGCATCTGCCTCCACCCGCCTGCCTGTGTCAGCTTTAGGGATGCCACTGCCTACCTCTGAGAGAAGTACAGAGAAGGTAAAGTTTCAAAGTATGGCATTAAACAGGGCTATCTCCACAGTGACAAGCAGATGATTCTCATTCTCCCAAGGCCAAGGTACAGGTCAGATCTGTCATGATGACATGGATACTAAATGGGCTTGTTTAAGTTAAACTTGTTGAGCCCTTACCACTTATAATAAAAGTATAAAAGTGATTAAAAAAAAAAGTAATAAAATAACTTTTGGGGACAGGCAGTGATACAAAGATACACCATTGTTTTGAAAGCTGAATGGAGGAAAACATCCTCATTTGAATTTGTCTTTTTTTATTTATTTATTTATTTATTTGAGACAGGGACAGCACACAATTTTTACATTAACCTTAACAGGAGAGATGCATTGTACCAGGTTGTAGCACCAGTGCTAATTTCCACCTTTAGTCCCTGGACAGGTTCATTAATCAATTGTATTTAACTGACCTTAGCTATCAACCATTACAGACTTTAAAGACTGTCATTCTGTGATATTTTATTTAAAAAATAGCCCAATTTCTTCCTCCAAAGTCTGAACTATCCTCCAAACCACATGCTTCTATGGACAGAGGCTGTTGACTTTGATTAAAAAAACCCAACCATATCATTGACAATTAGACATGACCGAATTGTGATCTCTAAACCTTTCAATTAATTGCCCAGCCCTACTCTATGCCTTGGCCTAAGAAAAAGAAGTAGATATTCATTTCCAAATGGATCCTTTGGTTTACTTTGCATTATTGGCCTTTTCACCTCCTTGCTTTAAACAGCCTCCTAGCAATGGGAATAGACAGAGCGTCACAGTGATGGAAAGGCGAGGAAGAGGGAGGATGAAGGCTAAAAATAGAAACTGAGTTTGGAGCTGCATCACACCTCAGCCTTTGTACGCTACATTGCAGAGCACACTTCCTGATCCCGATAATTATTCTCACACGTGCAGCTGGCATGTTTCCCACATTTCAGGTTTCATCATTTTAACATGTAATTTAGAGTATCCACAGTGCTGTTTACGTCAGCCGGTTTACTGCGGCAATGTAATGCATTTATAGTGCAGCAATGTCCTCTGGGTATAGCTAAAGAGGCCAGCTCAAGGACAAGGGCAAAGTTATACAAATAGACATATAATACAATCACAATATTATACCAAATAGGACAGAAACTAGCAGCATGGACACTGTATGTTGTGATGAGTCAGAGATGGGGGAAGGAGGAGAATAAGAGCGCTGACAAAAGAAAAGCAGTGATGTAAGTATGACATCAAACGTCACATGACTGTTGCATGGAGCTTGAGCATTCTGGTTTAAACCTTCCCTACAAGGAAAATGCACAGTTTTTAAGGTTGAGTTTAATCTATCCTTGCCTCTTGTTACAGGGTGCGGTGCTATTGATCCTCATGTCAGCCTGTAGTGCTTGTCTAGCACATTGATAAAAACAGCAAAGCATCAGGCAGACACTACACAGTGCTCTTTAAGAATAACATATATTGCCTTTAAGGAGGGAAACAGCTAAGGCAAAGTCTGGTTTGGAGGTATGTGCCCTGTACAACACTAATCCTTGTTTAAGTGAGATAATGGATCAATGCCTGATTAGGATAACATAAGACTTAACACAGGCTAATCTTACTCAAGTCAACTACATCGGTATTTTATTACATTCATATACGACTGTGGCGAAGATAAGTATGGTTAATATGCAAGCAGATTGCAGAGGCTTACTGGGTTTCTGCAAAAATGTAAAAATTATATGAACATTTTATACTTAATATTCAAATAGTTCTCGATATCTGAGTGGGTTTTGCTAATTACCACATCCAAAGCAGTGTAAGAGTCATTACTCAGCTAATTCTAATACAGGAGGTTTGACTCCTGGCTCTACCCCCTGGTCTCTTAAAACTTTTGCGGTTACTCTGATGGCTTTCCAGAAGCAACCTGATCCCACATGATTCAGACTGGTGTTAAGAACTCAGAGCATTAGGTCATCAACAAAAATAATATTATGACTATGACACAGAAAGAGTAATGCCTGGTGTATGCTGACAGCAAGTGCAGTGCGGTTTGGGAATCATGCGGGCATGCATTAAAAGCAATGTGCCCTGCCACACTGACCACTGAGGAGTGCGGGTGCGATTGAGGCACAAATCTGCAGAAAGAATCAGCAAGAACTCTATTTTTGCCAGACACTGTAGCGGTCTGGAGTGGTTTTCAGGTCATTAGAAGTGTATTATCGTGTGTGAACCCATGTGAAACTGCGTTGCTTTGGTAAAATACACAACGTAGTTGTTGTAGTTGGTGTAACAGGGAAACTGCAAGTAACCCATTCAAAGTGTGTACCGCTGTCAGTGTAAACTCAACGTAAGCAAAGATGAGGACATGCAGTGAAAACATTTCCCTGTGACAAAATATCTGGTACATACATCTCTCAAGATAGAAGATACTGAAAATACACTCTGAAGTGCAATCAATATTACTAAAGATCTGAAAGATCTCAAAACTGCTTATTTACTCACGTTAGTGTTATAATCTGTCTATGATTTTGCCAGCAGAATCAATATTGATGGAATGTCTCAAATATTCTGTAGTGACTAGCACAAGGACAATGACAATTGTATATCATTAGCTCATGTTGTTATTATGACAAGATGCGTTTGTTCATACTCAATCCAGAAGCTTCGAGAAACATTCACTTTCTAAAATTATTGGTATGTGAAAAATAGTTAGCCCACAAATTCTCAGTAAAGCTATGAATGGAGTCCCGGACTGCAGTTAGTCGTCACATGATGGCTCTCATGTGAGAATCTGCTGTTTTTCTGCTCAGCTGGCCAGACACAGCATGAGTGTACAAAGAGATCAGGCGTGACACTGGCCAGTAAGACCCTCTATACTACAGTCCATGCTGCCCCACAGCAGCACACTGTGAGAACCAGTGCAGCCAGGCCCACAGCATGCCACAGTTCACAGCCTCATAGAACAAGTCATGACGCTGAGCAAACGCTAATCACATTAGTTTGGCCTGTGCTAACTCTCCTAGCATCTAATGCTAAGTCCCAGAGCACCATTTATATCAGTGGACTGTTGTATGCTACTAATACAATCAAATCAATATATCTAAAATAAATAAATAAATAAAATAAAACAATGCAAAAGAACTATCTGGCCACTTAATTTAAGATCTCACCACACCATGTAGGTCATAGCTGAACAATCACTTTATATTCATGAACAGCATAAGCTAAATATAGTATAAAGGAGTAAATACATATCCACTTTGGTATGACTTCTGTTTAACGTGAGATATGAAATGTACGAGATGGTAGGGAGAAGGGTGTGTCAGGAGTGGTGGTGCACTGTATTTCTTAATAAATTGGAAAATATTGGAGATATCAGTCATCTTTTAGATAGATCAGATATCTCTGGTATCTGTAAAATAAATAACAGGTAAAATCATATATAACCTTTTAGGGGAACAGACACAAGCACCCAAGGGAGATACCAAATGATCTAAAAGACTTACTTGGACAAACATATACTCCAAATCCCGATTCATGCTGAGTTGTTGTTTGAGTTCTAGCACATGCTGTAAATCTGAAGGTCCACAAAGCCTCCTCTCACTGCTCCAGTGCTGAGTCTTGAGCTTGTTGGTGGATGAAACTTCTCATTGTGTCTGAAGACACAAACAGGGTTCAAGGCTGTTCTCTAATGCTCCTCGTGCTGCGGCCCATTACTGGCTGTCTCTGCTGTCTGTCAAATGTTTAGCATCCTTTTTGATCACATGAGTAATGAGGCAGAAATAAACTGAAATCTGAATGAAACACAAACCACTAACCTAAACCAGTGCAGTAATGCAAGCCTCAACCTGTATTGTGATTTATTATTGGCATCAGAAAGTGTGAGTGTTTAATTACTATAAACAAAATGCTATGAGAAGAACTTATGACAATTTTTGGCTCTATGGGTTAGCAATGCATCAACATGCCAAAGTGTATAGAACATGACTACACAATTACTTTAACCAGGTTAAGCTGGTAATCAAATGCACATGGTTGCAATTAGATGTTGGAAGAAAAAAACAAACTGGCATTACAAAACATCTGATGCAACTGACACACCTACAAGAGGATGTCGGTCAACTGATAATTTAGTTTATTTGTGTCCAAAAATCGAGAATTTTTGGAAAGTCACTGCCTGGCTCAGGGTAACACACATTATTACATATAGTAGTGTGAAGCTACTTTGCACAAAAAAAAATTAAAAACTTTGTTACATCAAAACAATAATTTCTCTCTCTCCAGTACCACTGTGTGAGTCATCTGTAGCTCACATTTATTTACTAATAATAGAATGACATTCAGACAGAACCCAAGAACAATATTTTCAAATATTTCTGGGTACCTTTCATATTTGCCTTTTCCTCAGCACCTTTACCTCTGACTCACTGTCTTTATCAAGCAGCAGGTCAGGGAGGGAGCACAGCCAGTGTGTTTGTGAATCTTAACTGAGCTGCTAGAGTCAACTCAATGGGCTTCTATACAGCTGACTCATAAGCACAAAGACTGGACTGTGCTCTGCTCCTGTGCTGGAAAGGTAAGTCACACAGAGGGTCTCACATCAGAGGAAATCGACCAAAACACATCCAACCATTCAGAGCTAAAAGCTGGAGATCCCAGAATCCTTCACTTTCACAGAGCAAACATTTGCATCTTCAAACTGTGACAACAAACATGAAGCAAAATATAAACAGTTAGTCAGAATTAGCTTGAGTTCCCCATTTACCCGGGCTTGGAACAGGCACAAAGTAGTTACAAGTGCACTCAAGGGCCTGACACATGGGTCTTTGAACTCTGTGGAACCTAAATGGTTTTCATTGTATTTAATTACATTTATTCAATGACTGTATTGTATGCATGAGCAGCAGCTCGCCATCATTGGAAATTTACTCAATAAAGTCAATAAAGTTTATATTAAGGATGCACCAATCCAGCTTTTCATTTCTGATACTGATATTGATAGCTACTTTGACTTTAATTTTAAGCAGATTCACAATATTAACCAATGCCAGTGTAGCAACCTTCCTTAAAACACAGTTAATTTACTAAACAATATATCCAGTTGTGGTATGTAACTGTTATTTATCCTTCAAATAACTGAACTGATACTGAACAACTCTGGAGGAATAAAAGTTCAAAATCAGTTTGCAAATAGCCATATTACTTCATTAAAGTCCCATCATGGAACCAATACTTGATCTTGATTTTTCATGTATCTGCACTGATATTCAGTATCAGAATAGGTGCAGGTGGGTTCCTAGTTTATATCTATTTATGTGGCTGACTGGATTTGTGTTAGCTGTATGAATATTCTCAAACACTAAATAATGATAGCCTATTGTATGACCTTTTTACCTAAACAAGGGTACAGCAACATAGGTTCCCATTCTAATATTTCTATGACTGCTGTAGAAGCCCAAACACATGCAACTGAACGCTGCAACTGTTCACTTGTTTTCCTCTCACCAAAACTGTTTTCCAAGATGAACACACCAGCTGTCAGATAGGGGGATGGGTGACTGCATCTCCTTCCCCCTCAACACCAACATCCATGTCCTCACCATTCAAGACAAATCTCCCACTTTACAGCCCTCCAGCCAATATATGATCTTGTAACAGCACCTTTTTCATGTTTTCATAATAGTGCATTCCCTCTAGCCACTCTTAGGCCCTTCTCTTGCACATATCCTTGATGCTAAAGAAAGATGCTAAACGGGGATGCGGCGCTTCGAGCAGCATCTCAGTGGTACCCAGCTGACGACTGACAACCAAAAATACTGAAATAATACAAGAAAAAGTGGACAGAAAACGTGTAGATCTAATGTCAAATGAATATTTGCAATAGCAGTTTTGTGCGCGGGGTGAAACAAGAAACAAAAAAAAAAAAAAAAAAAAAAAAAAAAAAAAAAACACGGGGAAAATAGGCGTGATGGCTGGCACCGCCTTTTGCATCATCCTTCCTCCCAGCCCCTCTCCTCCAAAGAGGTTGATGCCAAATAAAAACAGGTGACCACCCTGTACATTCAGTAAACAAACATACGAAAATAATACTCTACATCTTGAGTCAAAAGCATAATTCAACGTTTTAGAAGTGATATTAATAGGTAATTTAATGAAGGCTACATGCAACATTAGCAATACCCTTGCCCACTGAACGTGTACTGGAAATACATATACCTGCCACGTTTTTAAACCAACTTTCAAACATTTATCAGGATCATTGTGTAAATTAAATCAGGTAAATGCCATTTTCTCAAGACAAAATCATAGTTTTCTTTTTCTTTTATAATGAAAATGAACGTGACAAGACGAGACGCCACGCTACCAGCTGTAGTCAGCTTGGTCATTAACACTGAGAATAAAGACAGAAGCGACTGACATTTTAAAGAAATACATTGCACTTGTTTTACCTTTGTGTACAGCTCCGACGCTGCCATGACGGTCACTCGCTATGTCCTCCCTCCAATCTGGGCCAAAAAGGTGCAGGTCTGCGCGCTACACGAGTCTTGGCCCTTGTTTTCATGAAGCTGCGTCCAGCGGAGCGAAGGGCTAAATCCTTTTGTTGCTGCAGGGACTCATCAGGGGCTCATAGGGGAGATGCCGCAGCTCTGGTCGCCATAAAAACACATACACCTCTTAGTAGCAGCAGCCTGAGGTTTCGGAGGAGTCTCACTTTGCATTGTGGGTACGATGAATGAAACGACTCAACCTCTTCTCCCTAGCCCGGGAGTCTGCACCTCCTCGTGGCCACAGAGGGAAAAGCTGGGGTACTTTTTCAGTAAGCTTTTGACCATAAATGTGTTTGATAAGGAGCTCATAAAAAAAAAAAGTATTATCAGAACATATTTCATGTAGCTTTTGTTTTACATATATTACGCAAATTAGTTGACTGCGTAGACTGTATAAAGAAGTTATATACAGTGGTGGAATGTAACAAAGTAAAAGTAGTAAAATACAGTACAGTAGCAAAAATATCTGTACCTTACCTGAGTATCTGTACTGTATCTGTACTTTACCTGAGTACGTTTTGAAGTGAATACTTTTTACTTTTACTTCACTACGTTTCAGAGTGGGTATCTGTACTTTCTACAATACTACATTTTTGAACAGGACTGAGTATTTTTATTATAGTTTGAGACCTACTGAAAAAGTTGAAGGTTTATTTTGAACATGTTTATAGTTTGAGCAAACAAAAATGCACAAAGAAAAACAGGTAGAAATAAACATTAATTAAATTGTTTCTGATGAACAAAATTCTCATAATCACTATATTTGAAGCAGTGGAAAATAATTCAGCAAGCAGAAAGAGCCCAAGTCATGTTATCTGCCAACTTTTAAAGCCTTGTTGATAGTTCAGTGTGTTTTTCTTTTACATATTACAGTATTACAACATATTATAAGAATAATAGACCAATAATCATAGTAGTTGGTGAGTTGTGTAAAGTCTCACAAATAATGTTAACAGACACTGTGGCAATTCAGTTTGTGCAAAACTATTTTATTTACAAAACAAAATGGCACCAAGTGACAGCAGGGCAGCCATACACATGCGCAGCTCATAAAGATGTAGTACTAGCTAGCATTTCTCACATCGCAGTAAACTTCATCCATACATTAAGGCCAAGGAGAATATCCAGGCCAAAGACATTGAACAACTTTTGATTATAAAGCATCTTACCAAGTTTGCACACAATTGATACGAATTTGTTCCCTGTGGTACAAGATGTTATTACTGTACTGAAAGCAGTAACTATTTAAGCATTGAATGTGGACATTTTGGCTATTAAGATGCATTTCAAATATCACACAACAGGAGACCCCCACAATA